AGAGATGAAGTCTTACAAACCGACTGCAATCCCTGTTCCCACTGCCCTGCACTGCCTCAAGGGGAAGAGGCAGGTAAGTTGAGAGCAGAGAGTTTTAGTTTAGTCTGGGAAAAAGGGGAAGGTCGTTTACTTTTGCCCTTTTATTCCTCACAATCCTACCCTGTTTTTAGTTGCCAATACATTAATCTACCCTAAGTTAGGGCTGTTTTGCCCATGACAGGTATCAGTGAGTTATCTCCCTGTCTTTATCTTGACACATGAGTTTTTCCATTTTATTTTCTTCTCCTGTCCTGTTGAGGAGGAGGGGGAAGGAGTGACAGAGCAGCTGGGTGGGTATCTGGCAGCCAGACAACATGAAATCACCACTCTGGGCTAATAATAAAGAATTATTGGAATCAAAGTAGGACAAAGCAAATTTTCTTACAAATTTAATGAAAAAGTATGTCATTCTACAGAGTAAGTAATTTTAAAAGTAAAACTAATTTGTGCCACATTATATAACTTTATATGGAGCTTGGGGTTTAATGTAGCTGACTAAAATACCTGATGAATATGCAGAGAACTCAAAGGAGATCACCTTTCAGATAACACTGAAAAGATGAAATTAAATTATAATTAAAAAAAGCTAATATTCACCTAGAATGATTAATGACAAGTATCATCTCAAAGTACAGTTACTTCTCTGGAAGGCTTTACTACACTTCCAAGTCCAGATTACACAAAATAGCAGGAATAAGTAGCAGTGTTCCCAAAGCACATTTCCACTTGAGTAGGAATAAAGGTTATAAACACAAAGATGATTGACTAGCATTTGTAGTCACCACAGATAACATTTTTGCCTGCGCAAAAATATAGACAACCTGAAGGCTTTATACGTGTTTACTTTAGTGTTATGGTTTGAGGGGCCAGAAACTAATTTTATGGCATTGATGGCCAAGCCCAAGGGAAACAGAAGGTATTTCCTAGAACCCTGAGGAGATCCAGGGGTAAGAAAACATAAGGTTGCATGACCTCAGTATTCCCTCTCATTTCCTGCCATACCCTATAAAACACCAGAATCTGGGGCCTTGTCTCCTTTTTCTCTCTTCCAGTGGATATCTTGGAAAGCTCTGTCTTCAGCTCACCACATGCTCTGCAGAATCCTACTCCATCTCTTGTTTGGTAAGAGTCCTGTACCTGTTTTCCTATGTGGGCTCTGCCACAAGAGACCTTCAGATGGTTGTATCAGCTACCATTAACACGAGGTTTTGACTATACATACTCGTATATCTATTTGTATATTTTTCATTACTTTAGTTATTATCCCTTCCCTGTTTCATTAAACTTTGTTCTAGCTTTAATTTCCAACCTTTAAATCTGTTCCTTACTCCCCTTTTTACCTTTCCTTGGGAGGGTGGGTGGAGCAGGAAGAGAGAGCAATTTGGTTCTTTATGTTTTGGTTCAACCTGATCACTAAATAAATGCAGAAAAAACTGGCAACAAATACGGGGCCCTCCACAGCTGCAGGTCCAGATCTGCTCCACGATGGTCTTCAGGGGCTGCAGGTCCAGATATGCTCCACTGTTGTCCTTTGGCTGCAGGGGAATCTCTGCTCGGGCACCTCCTCCCTCTCCTTCCTCACTGACCTTGGCATCTCTGCTCAGGTATTGTTGTCACTTCTCCCCCTCCTCTGCCCTGCGGAGTTTTAGCAGTTTCCTTTTCCGCTCCTGAAGTATGTTCATTGCAGAGGTGTTATCACCACCACTGATGGGCTCATCCCTGGCAAGAGGCGGGTCTGGCTTTGGAGCTGGGGGAGCTTCCAGCAGCTTACAGGAGTCACCCCAGTGGCTCGTCCCCCACTACCCAAGTCACACCACACTGACCAACAAATTTAGAAGTACTTCTATTGAAATAATTTCAAAATCAATAGTATTTTTTTTTCTCTTGAAAATAATTCTAGGATTCACTAATATTGCATTAAAAAAAATAAATAAATTGTAATAACAGGGCAACTATTTTGATGCTCATGTCTGCTAACAGCATGTTGGGGCATTCACCAGCAGCTCTGGGACTAAAACTAGTGAGCTAATCACTTGCTGAAACTATCATCTACATTGCATCCTTTACCCACAACACATCCAGATTAAAACAGTTGCTTCCAAGGCTGTATGTATTCCATGAATGAAATACAGGCAGGCAATCAACACAGATTTATTTTTTTTTAACACTTGTCTAGCATATGGAAAACATGCTAACAATTTACTTTGCTAAGTAATAACACAGAAATCTCCATATGCTCTCTGCCAAGAAGAATGATAACAAATTCTGAGTAAATGATGCTATATTAGTGACCCAATAGAATTAAGCAGATGGAGCCTCTTCCATGGAGAATGTGGTCCTTTCTCCTGATGATGCTGTATCACAAATATTTTGGTTACCAAGGTTTCCAACCACTTACCATGTTCCCTCTGAATTTCCTCCATATCTTCACTTTCTGATTACTAAGCTTGTCAAAAGTCAGTGGTATATTGTTCCTCCATCTTGGAATCCAACCAGAATCCTCAACAAGTCTTAATCATTATAGCAAGGGGAGACTGTCCTATTACACTATTTACTGTAGTTTGTCCACAATGACACTGCAGAAGCACTACAGAAGAACAGTAGTTTTTCTCAGAATTGGTATTATTAGACCACATCCAGGTTTCCCTTCTTTGCTGAAAGCTCAGAGGGAAGCACAACATGTACTTCCCCCCCCTCCCCCATCACTAATTAGAAGTTTGATGGCAGGAATCAATAACACTACAAGGTCATCAACCAATATTATTTGCTGTTTTACTGCACCATGCAAATACTGTGTATTTGCTACTGTGTACAGCTGTGTATTACTGTGTATAGCCACAGCTTACTCCCAAGAACCTCCAGGTGCTCTGCAAATCTCAGCACCTGCTAACAAAGTCACCTACAACCAGTGTGTCATAAATTACGTGAAAAAATACAGACCTCGAGATGTTATGACAAGAGCACTTGGCACCACCTACAGAGGAAGGACTAAAGTTCTCAAAAGGTTGGGATATATTGTCCTGTGACTGCAAAGCCATTAGGTGGAACATTATCCCAGATGACTGGTAGTGTTATGGCACTAAAAAATCTCACTGTAGCTCTAGATACAACTCCTTACCTTATCTGCCCTATTTCATGCACCATGATGTTTATTAGATGAACCATAGACACAACAGGGGATGGCAAATGTCCTCTGTTCTAATATTAATAAGGGAGTGTTTTAGTAATGGATTACTACCACCTAAGCATCTGAAAACTTCACAGCCAATTCTAAGCTTTTTGAGGTCTAGAAATGTGAAGAAATGTAAAGGTCACAACATTAGATGAGACACTGTATCACATGCAAGAGAGCATTATGAATATTCTAGGGCCACAGCCTTGCTTATGCAAAAATTTATATGGATTTCTGGAAACAACAATGAAATCTAAATTCAAATTTTAAAATACATTATTTACTTCTGCTGTAAAACCTACCAATAATCAACTCAACTATTTTTAAGAGATAATTCACAGGTACATCTTTAAGCTTTAGTGGTATTTTTGAGAACTTTCTAGTTTTCTTTCACCTTTGATTCTTCATTAAAAAATGGAGGAAAACAGTTTTCCAAGGCTTTAAAGGAAAGAAAACTCACAGTCATTCTAGAAAGAACAAAAAAATTTTCTTGTTAAGTTTCAAAAAAATCTGGAATACAAGCTCTATGCAGTCAGATCTCACAAGTAAGCAGGTTTGATAATGGAGGGCTGAGGAATGAGGGGGTGAAACTGATCTCTGTTTTAAAACCAAGAGCCAGGTAAAACATCAGACTGCTAGTATACCTTATGGAAGCAATGATAATAGGTTTACTCAAAGGTATCACAATGTAGAATCTTCTCTTTTATCTCCTTTGACTACCAAATGGCTAAATGAATAAATAAATACACAAACAAACAAAGCAAGCTCATCTTACCTTAAATCATTAATAAACTAATTTAGTGAGTTTAAACTAACTTGGGTTTTTACACAAAGTAAGCACCCGTGAACTTCTAAAGGATCACTCATCTTCAAAGTGAATACACTCACTATACTGTGCAGAACTGGTGCCTACATTAATTAAAGCCCAGTGGTTGTGTAATGTTCCTTTTATATAATTTTCATCAATTCTTAGTGTGGTATTTAGGAGGAATAAGGGAAATTACATTATTCAGTTAAGACAGGTATTTAGAACTTCTTCTCACTCTTAAAATGGGAAAAGGACTTCAATTGCCAAATGACTGCATGGGAGTAAGTTTTAACAAAGGCATTAATTATTTCCTAAATGCTCTTTTTGTTTGCTTTTAGCTAGAAGCTAATTAAAATAGCTGGAATTAAATTTGATCTGCAATATGTACTTCACCTGCGTGTATTTACTTAATGTTAGAATATATTACTTGATCAAAAGGACAGAATACAGCAGGATAGGAGGTTTTCTGGTCAAAAGGAAAAAGCCTAATGTAATAACCGAATTACTCTTTCTGTCTAATTCAGGAGAGTCTCTGCCAAAAAATTAAGAACTCGTTTTTGAAAAAGACACTAATTACACTACTTAACTCACAAGAATTTTATTTTTTCTTCTGTAGTCAAAAATAGGCTTAGTTGTTTGTATGCATATAAATCTGTTTAAATACTGGCCAAATACTGAAGGAATCATAATGGCAATTGTACTTTTCAGTCACAAAGGGTAAAGAGCACATTGTCTTGAAAACTACAGGAAACAGATTAGCATGGTCATCAAGTAATAATAAAACTTTTCTCCACTAGAGAAATATACACTCTGCAAAATATATGTCTAGATGATTTACCCAAACCAACCAAGAACAAACACTCAGAAAATACTGCTTGCTTTTACTGATCTCTTCCAACCCGAGTCATGAGGAATTGTTCTCAACTAATACAACCAGCTAAATTTGCTTTAAACTAGTTTCAGATGCTAAAATGAAGTTACCTGTCATCAATGATCCAGTTCAGACACAGATTGAGGGAATTAAGGTTTTTGCATCTCTTTACTACTTCCATCACGGTTTCATTGTCCAGTTCTGTTATATGACGTAGATCCAAGCTTGAAAGATTTCTTAGCTATTGAGACAAATATGATAGATAGAAAGAAATAATTTTAAATTTGTTCACACACATAACACTTACAAGAACAGTTAACTTTCTGGAGTTGTGTATAATATATATATATACTTTTTTTCTTTTTCTGGAAAAAATAAACATGTTAGAGGGACACAGTTAACTTTATTCAACAACTTCAGCAAATTCAGAATTCACGCACTTACTCCATGAAAGGAAGACACTCTCATTCATGGCCCAATACATCTACAGTTAGAGGTGTAGGCCTTCCTCCTTTTAACTATATGGAGTGTAAAATACCAAGGTAGCATATCAGCTCATTTAATTATAAGAAAAACAGAGCCTGAAGGAGTCACGGAAGGAGCAATAGACTGAGAGAACAATATGGTTAAGATTCCTGCATGAATTAATCTGATTTATTAATATTTGCAATCATTATAATGTCCTTCAAAAGCAAACAAAACATTCTTACTACTTTTATGAGCTATGAATTTAAACATGAAAATGGTTACAGATTTCTACTCTGTCCTTAAACACTAGATCAGCTTAGCCATAATAACCTCCAAGTGCTGCTTGCTATTTAAGCTGTCTGAAATAATCTCTACTATACTCTGGAAAAATAACTGCATTAGCTAACACTGACACCTTAATTAAATTTACCTTCCCTGTAAGAAAGAAAAAATAATCCAATTCAGTGATTTAATTCACTAGGGATCTAATTAAATAAAGGTACACAACTGAGATAATATAATCAGTCCACTTCAGCAGTTAATTAGTAAATCAATGTATTTAAGTGGGGGGGAATAAAAAAAATAATATTTGGGGACTCCAAATACATGTGTGTACACAGAAGCTGGTGTTCTGGTATTTTGTTCCAAATTTTTCAACATTCTCCAAACCAAAGCTCAAGATAAACGACACACTGCTTCTAAAAATTCTGCTGAACAAACATAAAATTAAGGAACCTGACCTATAAGAAACAACTGCAGGTATGTCTATAGAAGTACAACAGTAATATTCCTGTTATTAAGGTATTACCACAGGTATACTATGGACATGCTTCTTGTAATCCCACTGAATTTCTGATAATCTCATTTGCCTATCAGAGAGAAAAGCACATAATGGCTAATAATGTGTTGATAAAACAGACAGATCTTACAAGCTCCGCCTCTCTGCATTTCACACATACTGCTCTAGCAGGAAGTTTTAAAGACTTACCTTCGATTCACCCCAAAAAAGCTCACAACCAAACTATCATTTTTTTTCTGCATAAATTACAAGGAGAAAGGGAAGTTTTAAGCAACTTTAATTTTTCTCACCCTCACACAGTAATTCCTCTAGCTTTTACACTACATTGGCAATAATGTAGCCAATGCCTACGACACAAGAAATAAACCTACTGGACAATTTAGCAATGCATATGTTTTGTGACTGTAAACAAGATATGTAGAAAATAATCCCACTAAAAAACCCTAGAGAATTCTTACTAAACTGTGCTCTTTTTAATGGCAACACCCCTCTTCTGAGCAGGTAAAAATACTGGTGATTCTCCTGTCATTATTATTACTTACAGAATAAAACCCATCAACTTACAATAGAGCTAACCCATGTATGGAGATCAATGCTTCAATAAAAAGTGTCTAAATAGCTTGACATCAAAATAGGCAACAGGTACCAGTAGAACATTTACCTCATTGATGGAATAAATGATGAAAGCAGCAGAAAGGATTATTGATTTCCCAGGAAAACGAGACTTCGGCATTACATGGGTAGCCTCAAAATCACCAGCCCTAATTCTGGTGGGGAACTTTAACCTACTGGACATCTGATGGAGCAATAACTCAGCCACAAGCAAGCAGGCTATGAGGTTCCTTGCAGTATGGAAGACAAGTTCCTAACACAGCTGGTAAGCGAGCCTACCAGGGGAGGTGGCTTGCTGGACCTGCTGTTCACTGACAGGGAAGGATGTGGAGGTCAGAGGCCAACTTGGGATCAGCGACCATGAAATGGTTAAATTCTTGATACTTAGTGAAATAAGAAGAGGGGTCACCAAAATCTCCACTATTGACTTACAGAGGGCAGGCTTCAGCCTGTTTAGAAAACTGGTTAAGAGAGTCCCCTGGGAGTCAGTTCTGAGCGGCAAAGGGGTTCAGGAAGGCTGGATGCTCTTCAAGAAGGAAGTTTTCAAAGCACAGGAGCAGCTGTCCCTGTGTGTCGTAAAACAAACTGCTGGGGAAGACAATCAGCTTGGCTGAACAGGGAGCTTTTGCTGGGACTCAGGGAGGAAAACCGAGTCTACCAGCTTTGGCAGGAAGGCCAGGCAACTCAAGATGAGTACAGGGAGCTTGTGAGGACATACAGAGAGAAAATTAGAAGGGCAAAAGCCCAGCTGGAACTCAATCTGGAAACTGCCAAAAAAAGGACAATAAAAAAAGGGTTTACAAATATATTAATAGCAAAAAGAGAATTAGGGAGAATCTCCATCCCTCTTTGGATGAGGGTGGAACATGGTAACCAGGGGTGAAGAAAAGGCTGAGATATTTAATGCTTTCTTCGCCTCCATCTTTAATAGTAAGACCAGCTGCCCTCAGGATATTTGACCTCCTGAGATGGAATATAAGGATGGAGAGCAGAACAACCCCCCCACAAACCATGAGGATGCAGTCAGAGACCTGCTGCTGTACCCAGACACTCAGAAGTCTATGGGGCCTGGTGGGATTCACCCAAGGGTACTGATAGAGCTGGCAGAGGAGATTGCCAGGCCTCTCTCTATCATCTACCAACAGTCCTGGATTAACAGGGGAGATCCCAGGCAACTGGAGGCTTGCCAATGGGACTTCTATCTACAAAAAGGGATCATCTATGTGGCCCTGCTCTGGACTCGCACCAAAAGCTCCATGTCCTTCTTCTGTTGGGAGCTCCAGAACTGGACACAGTACTCCAGGTGGGGTCTCAGAAGAGACATGCAAGCACAAAATGCCGGTCCATTTTGAGCTTCTCATCAACCAACACCTCCAAGTTCTTTTCCTCAGGGCTTCCCTTTTGTTTCATGATCTTCCCAGGTACAGAAGTGAGGCTGACAGGTTGCTAGTCCTCACAGTTCTCCTTTCTACCCTTTTTAAAACTGGGTGTAATGTTTCCCTCTTTCCAGTCACTGGGAGATAATCAGGGTCTTCCTTGAACATGTTTCAACTTTCAACCCTAAAAAATTCTAGTTTATTTTACACTCTAGGAGCAAGCCAGGAAGGACTCCTTTTACCTGAAAATACATTTACTCAAAAACATAATTTCAGAATGGCTCCTTTGAGTCTAATACAATGCTTGCAGTAAGCAAAGACATGTTTTTTTGCCAACAACATGCTACTTAAATATAGTTTGTTTCAAGTGCTACTATAATATACTTGGATAGTACTTGATACATCCAAAAAATTCCAATACAGATTAAAAAATAAAGCTTCAGGAAGGCACAAGACAGAATTATGAAAAGTAAAACAAATAAAGGAAAAAGTACCTGATATGACATATATGGTAATTAGCAGCTTCACAGGAATGTTGTAAGTAAGAAAAGAATTCCCCTACCAAGGAGGCAAACACAAATTCCTCAGTCATTTCTGGTAATTTTTAAAACTGCAATGTTCAGGGTTGTCATGTCACTGTATCTGCAGTATTAATAACCTACAGAAATTTTCTGTAAATAAAGCATGAGGGAAGTAAACTGGAATCCCCAAGTCCCAAATCCCAACAAAAAGCACATACACCAGTTACTTATCCCATAGAGTGCTTTCTAAGTTTACTACAAAGCAGGCATCTAAATATTTTCTGAAGGACTACATACAACAGTGTCATTTCTATGTAAATCAGGATTTTTATTAATGACACGAAAATCAGAACTAAATATTACTAGAAAGAATCAGGATATTTACTTTTGTTTAATCAAATACATGGGATTATAAAGTCACTTCACTGAAGGGTAAGACACCTATTAAATAGTCGATAAATCTAGACAACAATGCAGTAATCAAAACACAGATCTGAAAAGATGAGTAGGATTTTCCCACAAAGCCTTGATTTACATAATCTATGTCAGATTTCTAAATTATGTACTTCCTACACTTATGTTTTTTACATATAAAAATAACCTATAGCTATACATACATGGTTTTCATAGGATATGAAAGTTATTGTATTCTTCCACAAACACATGCCCCTTTTTACACATCATTTTAATATACAGGGTCCTTTTCAAATTACATTCTTTGAGGTACAATAACTTTACCATGCAGATTAATTTTGCTGTCTTATTTCTTTCTGCATGTGTTCCAAAATGTTTTCACTTCTTCTGTATCTTCAGCTACTGAGCTGCCCTAAACTGCTGAAAATATTTGACAGATAAGCTGAATGATTGTGTGTAACAAGAGAGCTGCACACCTGCATCAAAACACTTCTATTTTCATCAAGCGTGTTTTCGTTAAATAAGCTTTCTACTTGCTACTTCAAGATCTCTTTAACCATTTTTATGTTTACCAGAATATTTCATATTCAATACCCAATCTACAGTCATCTTTACCAGTTACAGTGGGTTCCATTTTCCTAATTGAAATTGTAAAAAAATTCTTAGCTATAAATAATAATTTATCTATTCCAGATGCAATTTTCCTCTGTTATCCCTGAATTCGCTTTCAGTTATGAACTTTAATGAATACACTGTTTGTCCACTTCATCCAAATAACTCATTTTATTGAATGCTTCCATTATTTTCTGCAGGTTTGCTCTAGTTAGTTCTCCCACAAATCACTCCTCTTACAAAAAAGAAAAAAAATAAAAAATAAAAAGTATCTGTCACACTATCTATATTAAAATACAAAGACGCATATATATAAAATGTATGTGCATAGCCAATATATTGTTGCAGAAAGGGTTCTATCTGAATCTTTTGCACTAAGACATTTGCACTTCCAGTTACAGAATTTTGTTTTGTTTGCAATGGAATCTGGTATAATTAGGTATTTTAACAATATTATTATTTTTGAGAAAACGTATCACCCCTTGAACACATTTTTGCCACTGTGCTTTTACACAAGGAAATAAGAACATGTCTGCACAATATATGGGAAGTTCATTTATCTTGTGAGGTTTGTATCCATGACGGTATTATTCATCATATGTATAGACTTATCCTGGCTGATACCTATGGTTTAACAGTTGTCAAACACACTTATGACTAGCATGAAGTACTTATGATACTCACATTGGTGAGATGAATGACTCCTTTTGATGTAACAGAGCAGCCCATAAAACCAACATACTGCAGCTCTGGACAATGTTCAGCAAAAGCCTTCACTGACTGATCTGTCACCTACAGAAAAGATACACAGGTAATAGTTGAATAGGTGATATAGCACACACTTAATACTGTGTAACCAGTTTCTCTGTAACAATGGCAAGCTTCTCATTTATACTTTTATTACTATCATCACTCTATTATTTATTACAAGTTTGAGAGAAAATATAAGGTAAGTATACATATCTTACAGGCGCATGAAAAGGAAAGGAAAATACCATCTCTGGCAGAGAGGGATCACGTTCTCAAAGGAGGACAATAAATGGAACAAAAGAGAAGATGATGGCCACAAATTCAAATATTATTGTCATCCTGTTTATCTGTAAATAACACAAGAGACCCCTCTATCCACTACTCTCACAAACTATATACAAAAATAAAATAACAAATTACGTTATTACCATCCTGCAGACTCATGCTAAATCCATCATTGACTCTAGATATCACTTTAATGTGATATCTTTAATTTATGTTCAATTCCCAAGTATTTTAAATAAGACAAAGAAACCCATTATTTTAACTTAAAGAGATTATTACATCTGTTTAAAACATCAGACTTGATCTCATGGTAATATACCATTCTGTCAGTTATCAATTGAATGGAGATGTTACCTATTTTATAACTGTGATGTACTTATTTTTACAACCACTTTTCTTTATAATTAAGTTTATCTAATAAAATTCACTAACTATAAAAGACAATCTACTGCATAAATGTAATGTTTTGTAGGTAGACAAAATATTAAGAATAACATTTTCTGAATTTTGTAAAAAATAGAGTATTGACATGGGTAAACTTAAAACACTAGCATATCTTTCTTTTAAAAAGGTGGGTGGTTTTCCCTGAGGAGTATGCATTTCCAGTGCAAATTACAGTAATGGAAAACTCTATACTGATATTGGGACAAACCTTGTATTTTCCAGCCAAAAACTCAGGAACATCTCATTATGTCTGGAATTGTAAGTCCTGAATGCAGATGACATTCTGAGTTTGTAAGGATGTTTTCTTGTTACCACAGAACTCAGAAACAAATCAAGTTTTGGAATATCTGGTCAAGAACTGAGCCTCACGTGAATACATACACCAGAACATTGCTCATGCTCTGCTCTTGGTCACCTTTACCTATAGTTCAAATTTACCTGACTAACCTATCAACTCCACACTGGCAGGATATGGCAACATTGGTGAAGATGCTGGAAAAACGATTTCTGAAAAGATAGCCCAGACAAGGAAGGCCAACAAGATCACATGTACGACACCACATATAAGCTGTATTGGTTTGACGTTACTGAACATGGTTTATAGGTCAAATGCAGCTTTATCAAAGCAACAATTTCTCAGTGAACCAAGATTTTTATTGCTGCATATCTGCTGAATAAAAATAAGATGTGAACCTTTTTGTATGGTGTATTTAGAAGCCAATGAAATTGAAAACAGGCTGAAAAGAAGAGAAAAAGGGTCAGCTAAACAGATTAAATCACAAGTTGAATAGCTACCCTGTCAGACCTGCTTAGACCCATGTCCCAGGTCTACCTACTTGAACAAAAAAAAACTCAAGAGTGCAGCAAGATACTTCTTCTTTGATTTTGATCTGACATTATCTTACATTTTTATTCTTGCACACTCATTGGAGCTGCGGACATTCACACAAACTATTTGGGAATTTTAAGATACTGACAACTGAAAACCTTTTAAAAACACTATCAGAAGTAAACAACTTACAGATTTGCATGATTTAGAGTTCTACCAGCAGCCTAGGAGGGGGAGGTTTCAGTTGATAATACAAAAGAAGGACCCTGCTACATTTTTACCCTCCTATCTCTACAGAGGATTAGAGTATGATTCTCCTTTGCAGAAAGGTTTCTTGCCAAGCCCTAGCTGGAATACACTGAGGAAAATTTCCTTCTTCCAGTGGCAGAAGAACCAAAAAGAAAAGGTGCTATGCCTATGCTACTAAGGTCCCTTCCAATCCTAACCATTTCATGATTTGACTGCATGAAGACTTAAAAAAAAAAGATATTTTGAATATAAATATTAGAACTATCATGAATTTAAATACCTTCTGTTACTACTATGAAATTTCCTGCATTCTAAATAAAATGTGTTAAATAAATAGTTTTGATGAAAGTAATAGTAGCTTGCAGCTATATATATTAAATAATTTACAGATCAGCCATGAAATTCTACATTGCTTGTTATTTATGCAGTACCTATTTATGCAGTACCAGAAAAAGATTCTTCATTATCTGTGTATGCTGTGCAAGCCCCATGATTTTCCCAGTTTAGAAAAAAATACAGTCTGTCAAAAGTAGCATGACATTTCTTGAATATGTTTTGAAATTACTGTGGTAGAACCACACCACTTCAGACAGGGATTTTGCTATTGCAAACAGCAATTTCTTTTGTTAAATCCTGACTCATAAGTAAGGCAGTAAATTAAACCTGTTTCTGTCTTTAAGCTCAGTTCAATAAGAGATCCTGTCCTTTGCTGTGAGTCAACAAATCAACACCTGCAGAAACTGACTACAAGTGTTATTGGTAAACACTGTACAAATATTCTTGATCAGCACTGAAACGTCACCGTCAGCATTCTTTTCTATACCACTTTCTAGTATTGTATCTAGTATTGTATTTCATGTATTACTTCTTTTTTACACCCTATGTCATTTATAGCAACTGATATTTTAGTAACTTGATTCCCACTCAGCCTGTTGTGAAGGCCCCTTGATATTCTTTTTGATTACCTACTCTTAACACGACTACACTCTCTCATGATTGTATTGGGAAAAAAAATATACCTACACATTTATATATATGCATATACACACACACTTGCAATTTCACAAGAATGGCTTTTCATAAAATGAGTATTAGTCACTATGTATGGAAATACCACATCATGACATCTGTAAACTAAACACCTGATGAAAGGGTAAAAAATAAAATTTGTATTGGATCTCTTTGCTGTCCTTTTTGTAGGACTCGTGAGAGTAAGAACACATAACAGTTTTTTTAACTTGTATAGCATGACAGTTTAGTACAATTTCCTAGTCTTCAGTGAAGAGGAACTGACAACTCAATCCTATGTGTCCTTATCTATACATAGCTCAAAATGCAAAATAAAACAGAACAAAACAAAACAAACAAAAAAGGTCAGTATGCAGAAGTACTATTTTTCATTAGTGCTATTTGTCTAAGGGAGAAAAAAGTTTCAGACAGTACTGAAAGGAAAGCAACAAAGCTAAATGTAAAGCTCAAGTAAGTTTCTACGACTGAGAACAACTATTCTTCTGCTTATATCAGACATTCTTCTATTTTACCATCTGCAGCGTCTAGCACAGATTGCTTGTATACAAAATGGAACTTTTATATTTAAACTCAAAACATGTAGGCTAGCTCACTATTTCTACTAAAGTCTGTGCCAGAAATAGTAACCTCTTTTACTGTTTGAATGTGTTTTGTGCTCCCAAGAGGCAGCCTGTTCTGCAGAAAGATAAATGACTGATGAAAAAATGCATGGAAAATTACCAATGTCATGTATGCAAGCAGTATGCAATCTCAAGACTGTCTCTTCATAATGTAATATAAAACAATATGCTACATTTTCCTCAAAAGCTTCTTCACCACTCAGGAGACAGAAGACATATATGAAATGTGTATTGCAAATAAGACTTCAGCAAGCTAACAAATATTTTGGAACACACACATTTGACTAAAATAATCTAAAACCAGATTATAACAGAAAGTATGGTGCACTTTTATAGAAATGACCCTTGTCAACAAAGATACAGAAATTCACAGCTAATTCTTCTCTAGATCACAGTATTGTTCTTCAAGAGACTTTAATAATTGGATTGATTAGTCAACTTCATTGACTTTCATCCTGTCTTGTGTGATGTTAGTTATACTTTGAAACAGTAATACAGGATGATGAAACAGATTAATAAGTTTTGCACTAAAGCATTGTGAATGAGAAATACAGTGGTCTGAAACTAATGACACAGTTTTTGCTTTTACAAAAAGGTCCATGATAACTGAGATATAGTTTAATAATTGTCTTTTTTTTTTGGTATTGCAGCCTATTATATATTAATTCCAATTATGCATTGTTTTACGGAAATTTGGTATTTTTACTATTCTCAATTAGATTCTTATTTTACATTCTATTCAATAATTTAAGGAGTGAAAAGGAAAAGTTCTGATGCAATTATGATAATTCAAAAACAACGTTTGAGGTACAACAACACAAACCACTTAAATTTCAACTAGAAAGCCTTGCAATTAAAAAAAAACAAACCAGAACACCAAAAAAAACCCACACCAAAACAACTTAGAGAAGCTCAAACAGAAAGAATTGAAAAAAAGACAGAAATATAAATAGTAGCAGGCAAAGAATGAACACCATATTCTCTTATTTAAACAGGGACACTGCAATGTAAGTAATGTCCAGTGAGGCTAACCTCAGGCATACTTTTCCTCATTTTTACCAAAACTCCTGAAATACATTCATTTCACAAGTTACAGTCAAATGACATGGAGCAAAGGCATTTAACCTGGACTAACTCAGCTTACCAGCTTACAGGTGACTTCAATTACATACACAAAGATGTAACACATACAAAAAAAGAATCATAAAGACATTGCTCATATACAGAAATATCTGTATCTACTGTAAACAAAGGCAGCCAGGCTATTACTGTTCTGTCAGTAGAGAAGATATGACATAACAATAAATGAAAATGATTAACAAAAAAAAAATAATATAAAAAAATCACTGCAATGAAAAAATTTTGAGGGAAACTGCCAGACCACACGTGTTTACATAGGTTCTTCCTGCTTAGTTTACAACTCATATTGCTTTACTAAAACGTAATCACTAAAGCTTGGTGCAAGGTAAAAGTTGTTGAATTTATTGCACTTTGCCAAAAGGGTGAAGATGGAAATAAAGGTTAGAATTATGATTAGATGATTCCTCTTTGCCACACCGGGAAAGATGGCATTGTCTCTCTCTTTT